AGCAAACTGAATGGGAAGACAGCAATGTGTCTACACAGTCAGGACTAGCTCCCGCATGCTGGCGAGCCTGGGACGCCCTCACCAGCACGGACGGATCCTGACTTGCCCTGGCACTTCATCAAGCGGCTCCAACGTTCTGCCTCTGTTTCACCTCACGCAAACCGCTTCTGCTCAGACAGGCCCTACAGGTCTCTCCCACCTGCACCCCTAGCTCTGCTCCCAGCCTCGGTGCAGCAAAAGCACCTCAGGCCCCCGGGGGCACTGTGAGGAGCCAGAGTGGGGCGCCCGCCTGCCCTTCCTCCTCCCCAGGAGGCAGCTCCACAYGGGGAGGGCCTGGGAGCTCGCTGCCCAGGAGGGGCACAACTCACACAGCAGAAAGAAAAGATGAGAAGAAATAAAACTAAACAGCAGCAGAAGCAGCATCTCAGTTCCTCCCTGACCTTGGGCAGGGGATTCCTTCTCGCCTGCACCCCCATCCCGTGTTTCTACATTAATAACTCCCGTCTTGTTTGCATTCCTGCTATCATGTGCACAGCTCCTGCCCCCTCTGCTCCCAGCTATGCTGAGGACCTTCCCCTGGTGCCCTTTTAACTTCACCGCCAGCCACGGGACTCTGAAAAGTGTCATTGAAAGGAAGCGGCGCCCTGGCCTCGCTGCATTAGGAAAGTGTCAGCCTGCAGATTTGGGCTAACAAAGAGCTTTTCTGAGCTCTGCGGCAGCTGATCCTCACAGCATTTCCATCTTGTGCTCACAAGAGCTGGAAACTGTTCTTTTAAAAGTTGAAGAGTCTGGGGAAATCTAACACTGCTGGCCACCCACTTCATAAATAAAGTTTCCTGCTGGCTAAAGGCTCAGCAGAAAGCAATTTCCATGTTTTGGGAATGGAAACCTTGCATTGTAAAACTACAGCCTMTAAGAAGAGCTTAACTTATTAAAGTTGAGCCTCATTCCATTCCCGCCCGCTCCTAAAACCGGTTCCTTGGTTATTCCACTCCAGCACTCGTGGCAGCCGGGAGGATCAGCCTTGTGGCTTCTCATATTTTCCAACCTTCTCCCCCCAGCTGGGGCAAGCGGGGGCTGCTCAAGTCTTTGCCTTGCTCCTCCCGGCTCTCCGCGGCGGCTGGAGCCTAAAGGAAAGCCCCAGCACGATGCCCTTGGCTCTGCTGTTGCCACCCGCTGAGCCGATGCCCCAGGGAGCAGTGGGCGAGCACGAGGTGTCATSGAGGAAGCATTGAAAAGGGCACCCACATCGCTTCAGCAGCGCAGAGGGTCTCCTGGCTGAGACACCAGCGCCGCTGCTCACCTGCAGGACACGGCAATGACCGTCTTCTCAATACCCAGGACCTACTCCAGCAAAGCGAACCTTAAAAGGATGGGATAATTTAAGGCGATATACATAGAGCAGAGCAAGAAGCACTGCTGCATATGTAGCCTACCATAGTCTGTATCCACTTTTATCCAGAGTAACTTCAAAGGGCAACAACTACCTGCTCCCATTTCATACCGCACAGCGCACACCAGCCAGTGCTGCCCACCTCTGTGCAGCTCTTCAAGCTACCTGCACAACCACCGCGCGTGGTACGAGCCATGACAACACAGTGACCTGCACAGGGAAAGTATCAACACAGCACGAAAGGAGGCTTGCAAAGGAAGCAGCTTGAGCATCACGTTATGCTCCCCACTTCAGCATGCATCAAGAAAATGTGAATCCAGACATTCTGCTACAGCAGGAGAATGAAAGGAAAATGTACGGGGCATGGAAATCCACAAAGACAAATAAAGTCTGAAGTTCCATTCCAATTTCCCCTGAAGGCTACGAATAGGTACAGAACTTATCATCATCATTGCAAACATGGCAATAGAAGAAAGCTGATTCAATGGGAAGTTTGGGCGTATGATACTTTGTTACTAAGCTTTCAGTTTTTGATGGTAGGAACCAAACTCAGAAAGCCAAAAAAAAAAAAAAAAAAAAGCCACCTCTAGAGGCTGTCACTTCATAAATGAATTTCCCAGCGCTCTTTTCCAGCTTCTTCATAAAGCCAGTGTAATGGATGAGCAAAGTATCTGAGTGTGTTACAAGCAAGGGGTTACAAGCTTTATAAATGTACCTCTTTTTAAACACACAGGGCACTTTTCAGCTGATTCAGCGAAAACACTGCAAGCACCTGTAAGGATGGATTTCCATAAATAGGGGCACTTCAAATGATCTTGAATCTATTCCAAATACGTGCTTGATCAGAAAGCAACAGCAGAATATCTTACTGTACACACACACATGCAGTGAGAACAGCCTTTAACATGTATAAGTAAAATAACCTTATTTTTAAGGCACCAGGACCAACAGAACCGGTGCTACAGCTCAATCTACAACTGGGAGAAAACACAGAGCTTCTCCTTGCAGAACATGGGTTACCCCACAGAGACCYGTGGTGGTCCCCAGACTACCCATCTGCCTGGAGCCTCTTCCAGGCTGAAACACTCCAGTCAAATTTTCCAGCACCGGATAAAGCAACACAAGAAGCAGCAGCCCAACAGGGAGCTTGTGYAGGGTTTGAGGATGCTCCTCAGGGGAGCTCTCACTGCACTGAGCCCAGCAGCAGCAGTGCAAACAAGAGTGGGACGGGAGCATTAGAAAGTCACTCTGCCTATTGTAAGGAAGCACCTTCCCGCTCTCTGCCATCACCCATCCAAAAACAGCCACAGGACCAAGCAACCATCCCCACCTCCAGAAGCTGTCCCGGCTCACGAGTGCCCGAGGCCTGGGAAGGAGGCGAGGAGGTGCCCGGCAGGGGAAGTCCAGCGGCACCCGCATGCAGCAGTGGGGCCATTACCCCACAGGGCACACAGAGGGCCTCCGCATCCCAGCCACCTCCTGCCCAGACCCTCAGCCCGCGGATGAGCTTCCCGCCTGCTTTAGGTGGGGCAGGAGGGATTTGAGCATGAGGGGGCTTCACAGGTCTCAGGGGGCAACTGCTACATCCCACAGGTGAAGGAGGTCTCCTGTTGATAGGAAATGTTCAGAGAGGCTGGGACCTCTCTTGCCGGTAACACTGTTATCTAAGGAGCTGCATTAAGAGCAGCTTCTCAGACTCTGCTGCGGCAACAAGCGCCGCTGCAGGAGCAGCTCCTTTCAGCAAGCCAGAAAGAAGGACCCCTACGTTTATGTCATGCATGTGGGAAGAAAAACAAGTGTATTGCTGCTGCAGTCTTATGTAAGGAAGGAAGAGGACTTCAGTTATAAAAATACTGCATCTGTGGCCAAGTCAGATGGGAGCGTTTCCTGTTAGGAAACAGGTGGGCAAAAAGCCTCACACCTACTTCCTTTAATCTATCCCTAAAAGGACTTTTTTAATGTTATTTTTGAGCCATCACTGTGGCACAATGACATCCTCCCCATTTAAAGCTACATATCTATGCATGCAACAGGACACAGTAGCACAACCTTCATGTGGCTCAGCTGCAGAGGGACTGTCACCTTGCCGGAAACAATCCTGTTCCGTTGCAAACTTCATCCTTTCCAAACTGCTTTGCAACAGTTCTCTGCACAACTAGCAAAACTAAACAACAAGTAATAAATAAATAAATGAGAAACATGAAGAAAATGAGATAGAAAGTTTCAGCGGGGTGACCAAAAAAAAAAAAAAAAAAGAAAACCCACAGATCAACTCCTGCTGGCTTTACTAAGCTCTGGCTCAAGCTTTGCATCATGACAAAAATCCCGTTCACGTCACTGGGCATTTTAACTTGTTAAAAAAGGCGCCGGGTTTGCTCCGCCGGCCCCCGGTAACGCAGCACGGACTGGTTGCCAGAAGCCAGCCCCGGTGCCACGGCAGCCCCTAGGCCGGGGCAGCCCCGCGCCGCCGGCTCCGCGCTCGCCCCGAGGCCGCGGCTCCTCCGGCCGGGCCCGCCCGTCCCCCCGGCCGCCCTTCCCACGTCCCCGGCGGGAAGCGGCGCTTCCCGGGAGCCCCGTCGCACCGTAACCACGGCAACGCCGCGGGAGCGCAGGCCGAAAACCAGGACAATAACGGCACTAAAGGCAACATCCGCCGGCGAAACCCCCTGCGTTGTCACTCACGCGCTGCCGCCGCCGCCGCCGCC